AAATTGTATTTTATCAGTTATACCATTGTGTGGTTTAGGATGGTTAAACAGTGTTCTAAAGAACAATGTAACTACAGTTTATGATACACTACACTTGGCTTGTACTGCATTTGTAAGTGCTGACGCTTTCTGTCACGAGCCTGATTTTTTGCTTATTTAGTGTGTTATTGTCAGAGTATATTAGTTGTTGACTGTTATTAGCAGTAGGACTAATCACAAGGTAATGGCTTTTGTGTTTAGAGATTTCTAAATGCACATGAAATGAATTTATATTCGGTAATGATCTGTTCTTTTCATAGATTTGTGCATGTTTTAGAACAATAAATTCTGTTACAATATCTTTATATGATAATTGGCCTGAAATAAAGTATATACTTTGTGGTAAGATTTATACATGTGTTTTCTTACTAAATATTCTGTTAATTTTAGTAAAATGATCAAGTGGATTATATATTTCACATAAACCAGTTTTGTTCAACATTAACATGGGTCCCCTTTAAAGACCATTCAGCACAGATGCGGATGGCTTGGTAGTGCACTCTTAAACTGCCCCGCCTCACAGTAAGATGATCCCAGACTCAATTCCGGTTCAAGGGTCAGTGTGGAGTTTGCATGCATTACAACATGCACATTAGTGTCCCTTGTGGGCCTCTCCCAAAACCAATGATTGGGACTATGGGTAATTAAAATAAATAAATTGGTTACCTGGTTTTGCTAGCATTTACTTCAATACAGGAATAAACAAGAAGACTTGGTTTAAAGGCATTGCTTTTAGATTAGTGAACTGGTCCCAGAAGGGCATGTGCCTGGGCAGGATGTCCACGTTATCATCTCCAAGAGGAAATCCTGGTGGTCTCCCAAACAAAGGAGAGGAGTCCCAGATGCCTGCTGTGGAAAGTTACACACAACATGCTCTGAGCTGCACAGGAAGTGGTTTGTTGGGCATTTTGGATGCCAAAATAACATCATTGCATATGTACCACCAGTCTCACTAGGAAACATCTGACGTGATTCATGGCTATTACATTATGGCTTTAGGTTTGGTTTCAGTTTTCAAATTCTTAACTATATACTATTCCTTATAACTACATGGATTGGTAGGAATATTTGGGCAAAAATAAAGAGATGTGTTCAAATCAGTTTTATTATCTACACAATTATTAAATAGTACAGGGAAAGATGTACATTTTTGTATCAAATTTAGTACAGATGTAAAGCATTAGGACATCGTACATCAGACATTATTGTGCTTGTATTAGCAAAATAACCCTATATGTAAATACAAGGCCAAATAACGGTGAGAAGACAACAAATCGCCAGCATTACAACCTAATATGATTTCACAGTGTTGCTTTCCACCTAATTTAATTACATTAAGAAGTTGAATAGTTAGACTATATTAAAAAATAACAATACATTTTGGGGGGGACATATATGCCTCTAAATAATTAAACAGGAGACTGGACAGAACACATACATTTCACAAGATTGGAATATACAAACCAGATCAGATTATAATACACATGTCACTCTGTTATATTCTCATTGAAATCAGAAACCAATATTATGAATGACTTCCCAAAATCTCGTCCAGGTTTATATCTTTCATCCAGTCATCATTGCCTGACCCAGATTTAAGGAGGGAGTCTATGAAGTCCGAATCTGTGTTGATGCCTGGGACGGTATTGTCGCCTTCAGGTAAGAAATCAAAGGTTAACTGGTTTCCACGG